AGGGCCTGGTGATGAAGGGAAGTGAAGGCAAGGTGTGCATTGGGGAGATGCCACTGACAGGGAAGTCACCACCCACTCTTCTTCAGGTCATTTCCCCATAGAGGCTGTCACAGAGCCCTGAGGTTTCCCCGTGCTATACAGTAGGTCCTTACTAGTTACCTACTGTATGTGGTGCAAGTCACTTCAGTCGTGTCCAACTCTTTTCACCCCTGTGGACTGTATCCCTCCAGGCTCCTCTGTCCATGGGATTCTCCAGGCAAGAACACTGGAGTGGGTTGCCATGCTCTCCTCCAGGGGATCTTCCCCACCCAGGAATTGAACCCATGTCTCCTATGGCTCCTGCATTGCAGGCGGATTCTTTACCACTGTGCCACCAAGGAAGCCCATTTATAAATAGTAGTATATGTACGTCAACCCTGTCCCTCGCAACTAGACAGGAGTCCTGACGTCGTTGAACAAACACGAGTTTTGAAGGGCCATCTCTGTCGTAACTCGAGAATATACCCCAGGTTCCCGCCACAACTCGAGAAAAACCATGAGATTTCCCCCTTGCCGCGAGATGAGGCCCGATTCCCCTGCATTGCGTGCAGAGCAATTCTGTGTCCCACATCAAACACAAAAGGAGCCTTGACTTCCTTGATGGCACTGCAAAGAGTCCCCAAGAACACAGTCACAAGTCTAGAGGGACCCTGAGGTCACCGCAGCAACACAAAAGAGCTCCGTGTACCCCAAATCAACTCGAGATGAGAGCTGATTCCCTGGCTTCGACTCAAGAGGAATACCAACTTTCCACAAGCACCTCAAGAGGAGGCTGCTCTCAGCTATAGGTATGTGAGAGGGACCCTGAGTTTGCGGCCTCAAGTGGAATGGACACCGATATGCCCTGACTTGAAATAAGGCCGGATTTCCCTGCAGTGACTTGAATGCAGGCTCGTCTTGCATCTCTTGCTGACAAGCATCCCCATGTTTTGCTATATAAACACTAATGCTCTACTGCTGTAGATGCTGATACGTTTGTCCCCTGGTTCCTTTGTGCCACAGTTTTTCTTGAGAATACACTTAGGAGTGGAATTTGGGGGTCAAAGGGTATGTTCACCACTTTTCTAATCCTCAACTTTTTTTTCTTCTGCTCATCTCCAAACCCTACGTTCCAGATGAGTGTAATGTCTGCATTTTGGGGATAGGTCAGAGCAAGAAATCTCTTAACGATTCAGGTAATCAGGATGGTGTGGTCACTCATCTGAATCCAGACATCCTAGAGTGTGAAGTTAAGTGGGCCTTAAAAAGCATTTCCTCTCGGAGCTCAGTTGGTAAAGAATCTGCCTGCAATGCAGGAGACCCTGGTTCAATTCCTGGGTCAGGAAGATCTGCTGGAGAAGGGATAGGCCACCCGCTCCAGTATTCTTGGGCTTCCCTTGGGGCTCACCCAGTAAAGAATCCACCTGCAATGTGGGAGACCTGGGTTTGATCCCTGGGTTGGGAAGATTCCCTGGAGAAGGGCATGGTTACCCACTCTAGTATTCTGGCCTGTAGAATTCCATGGACCATATAGTTCATGGGATCACAGAGTCAAACATGACTGAGCGACTTTCACTTCACTAGGAAGCATTACTACTAACAAACCTAGAGGAGGTGATGGGATTCCAGCTGAGCTATTTAAAATCCTAAAAGATGATGCTATTAAAGTGCTGCACTCAGTATGCCAGCAAATTTGGAAAACTCAGCAGTGGCCATAGGACTGGAAAAGGTCAGTTTTCATTCCAATTCCAAAGAAAGGCAATGCCAAAGAATGTTCAAACTACCATATAGTTGTAATCATTTCACATGCCAGCAAGATAATGCTCAAAATCCTTCAAGCTAAGCTTCAGCAGTATGTGAACTGAGAACTTTCAGATGTACAAGTTGGGTTTAGAAAAGGCAGAGGAACAAGAGATCAGATTGCCAACATTCACTAGATCATAGAAAAAGCTAGTGAATTCCAGAAAAATATCTACTTCTGCTTCACTGACTATGCTAAATCCTTTGACTATGTGGATCACCAAAAACTGTGGAAAATCCTTAAAGATATAGGAATACCAGACCACCTTACCTGTCTCCTGAGAAACCTGTATGTAGGTCACAAAGCAGCAGTTAGAACTGGACATGGAACAACTGACTGGTTCCAAATTGGGAAAAGGAGTACGTCAAGGCTGTATATTGTCACCCTGCTTATTTAACTTATATGCAGAGTACATCACGCAAAATACTGGGCTGGATAGATCATAAGTTGGAATCAAGATTGCCAGGAGAAATATCAACAACCTCAGATATGCAGATGATACAAATCTAATGACATGACAGAAAGTGAAGAGGAAATAACGAGCCTCTTGATGAGGGTGAAAGAAGAGAATGAAAAAAACTAGCTGGAAACTCAACTTTCAAAAAACTAAGATCATGGTATTTGGTCCCATTAGTTCATGGCAAATAGATGAGGAAACAATGGAAACAGTGACTTTATTTTCTTGGGCTCCAAAATCACTGCAGATGGTGACTGCAGCCATGAAATTAAAGGATTCTTGCTTCTTGGAAGAAAAGCTATGACAAAACTAAATGGTGTTTTAAAAAGCAGATAACATCACTTTGCTGGCAAAGGTGCATATAGTCAAAACCATGGTTTTTCTGGTAGTCATGTATGGATGTGAGAGTTGGACCGGAAAGAAGGCTGAGTGCCGAATAATTGATGCTTTCGAATTGTGGTGTTGGAGAAGACTTTTGAGAATCCCTTGGACAGCAAGGAGATCAAACCAGTCAATCCTAAAGGAAGTCAACCCTGAATAATCATTGGAAGGACTGATGCTGAAGCTGAAGCTTCAATACTTTAGCCACCCAATGCGAGGAGCCAACTCGTTGGAAGAGATCCTGATGCTGGGAAATACTGAAGACAAAAGGAGAAAGGGGTGGCAGTGGATGAGATGGTGAGATAACATCAGTGACTCAATAGACATGAGTTTAAGTGAACTCCAGGAGATAGTGGAGGACAGAGGAACCTGAGGGGTTGCAGTCCATGAGTCTGGCAAGACTTAGTGATTAAACAACACCAATGGAGACTTTACCCATCTTGTTTCCATTGCATGGAGCACCTTTTGTCTTCATGTCCAATAATCCAAACCCCACCATCCTCTGAGCCCATCTCAAGTAACACCCCCTCTTCCAGGAATGCCTCCTCAATTCATCCCCACCAGAATTCATCCCTTCTTCCTCTGTACTGTAAAGGCACTTACTTGGTTTTTATTGTCATTCTATTCTATCTTGCTATCACAGCCGTCTCCCTGCATGGTGCATGGCGTTTGTCCCCTCTAGGGAGTAAAGGCACGTTCATAATCTCCACAACATCCACTAGGGTATGGCAGACACAGTGACTATCCCAAGACTCACATTCTTTTCACACTTTCTCCTCTCTGAACTAGGACAGTGTCTTACACTGGATAGTGTATCGCAATATAACTCGAAGTATTTTCCTTAGCGCTTCTGAGAATAACAGCATGCCTTACAGCCAGTGATGTCTTTTGTTGTTAGTCTCTCAGGTGAGTCTGAGTTTATTGCAACCCCATGAACCGTAGCCTTCCCATGCTTCTCTGTCCATGGTATTTTCCAGGCAAGAATACTGGAGTGGGTTCCCATTTCCTTCTCCAGGGGATCTTCTCAACCCAGGGATCAAACCCACATTTCTTGCTTGGCAGGTGGAGTAATGTCTTAGATTCCTTTAAATCCAGTAGAAGGTGTTGAACCAGTATTTGCTATAGTGGATGAGTTTAAGTCACTTCAAGTGGGAGAGAGAATCTAGCCCCACTGTCTGGATTAGAATACATTTCAGGGCAATGTAGGGCTCCCACAGGCCCCCTACTTACCTTGCCTACCCACTTGGATGATAGTGATGGGGGAAGCTGGAAAGACTTCACATGTTCTAAACCCACCTGGGAAGCAACTCTCTTGAAGGCATTTTCTCACTGGTAAGATCCCTGTTGCTTCCAGCAGCAATCTCCATCATGGATCTCTCCATGGGGATTCCTCCGTTTCCCAGCCCCTCTCCCTAACCCCTGCTTCCTGGAGGGTCCCCCAAATAAAGCACCCACACCCAAACCCTTGTCTCAGGCTCTGTGTTGGGAGAACCCAACTAAGAGGCCAGGATCACCATGCACTGTCTTCATGGGGGCTATGACTACCCTTGACAAAGGGCAGTGCGCCAGGGTCTGTGGACAGTGCAGGAGGGTCCAGCAATCATGGTGGGCACTGCCTCTCCCGTGTCTCCCTGTCGTCCTGCTTCCTGCTTGTCCCAACCCCTCCTGCAGGCAGGTAGAGAGCCAGGCTTACGTAGGCCATGACAACTGACTTGGGGCTCTGTGACAAGGCACTTCCCAGGTGGTCCTCGTGGTAAAGAACCTGTCTGCCAACGCAGGAGACATAAGAGACGTGGGTTCAATCCTAGGGTCAGGAAGATCGCCTGGAATAGGAAATGGTAACCTATTCCAGCATTTTTGCATGAAGAATCCCATGGACAGAGGACCCTGTGGTCCATAGGGTCACCAAAAGTTGGACATGACTGAAGCGACTTAGCACGCCTGCTTAGAACACAAGGTGCTTAGGGAGGGACCATCTCCAGGGAGACAGTCAGGGTTGGAGTTCCTCCTGGTCTGGGAGACAGAGGGCTTTGGGGATTGGAGGGGCACGTTGTCCTGGGAGCAGACGGGGCTTCCTATGCACCAGCGCTCACTAACCAGCTCAGTCGCTGGGGGCCTGGGTCCAAGCATATGGCCTGCATCCCTGGTGGGTGGGTGGGGGTGCTGAGCACACATGGCCACACTCGGGAGGGAGCCCACCAACCCCAGGTTCAGCTTCGAGACCTCAGGCCCCGGAGAAGGAGGGAACAGGAAGAGATCATGGCCACACTCCCCAGGCCAGGGAGCAGCAGCTCCCAAGACAGATCCCATCTTCTTCAGCAGGCGCCAGGGACCAGAGGCAGGATGGGAGGGATGCGGGCAGTGCAGAGGGTGAGGGAGCCCCATCCTAAGGGGGCTGTGCCCCCACCTACCTGTGCTAGGCCCACCGCACCCAGGTGATGAAAATGGGACCCTCAGAACTCCAGAGAGACTCTGCGTGTGTGTGCGTGTGTGTGTGTACGTGTGTGAGACAGGCATTTGACAGCTATTCAGTCACTTCATCTCCAAACCCAGGCAGCAGCTGCCACCTCCCACCACTTGGGGAGGCCCTTGGGGACTTGTTCACGCTGAGGGCCCTGCTGGTATCTGCCCTCCTTCTCTTCCTCCCAACATTCCCACCATGTTCCCTGTCTTCCTCTTCCCCTTCTTCCAAGAATAGAACTCATATTAGGTGTTTCTGCTACCAAACCAGAAGTGATGTACACGTTATTTGGGGACAAGTCTGGAGAGAAACAGTGCAAGCCTTTTCATCTGAGCTGCACACATCAAGGAAGGCATCTCTGGCCTGTTTGTTTGTGATCAAACGGGCTGTAAGTTGCATATCCCTGATTAATTAATGAGTCACGTGTGACATTTAACTGGGATCAAGGTGCATTTCTAAAGTGTAAGTAAGAGAAAGAAATACCTCCCAGACACAAAAACGATCCATACACACCTCTGCCAGAAAATCATTTCAAGATCTTTGTATCCAGGCTGATTTCCCAGAGCCGGCTGTTCTGCCTCTAAGCCCCCAGTACTTAACCCAGTCCTGGCTCACAGTAGGATTAGTCAAAATTTGTTGGATAAATAAATCGGCCTTCAAAATATAGACCCAGGATATACACACAGAATAGCTAATATATCCACCTTTATTGAATAGGAAAGCAAGTAGCAAGTCAATAGTGACAAAATAAAGCTGGAATTAGCACCAGCCCACAAGCCAGGAGTGTAGATCCTTGCTGGAGCTAGCTGATGGATACCTAGAATTGATAAAAACCATTCTCTCTACTTTGGGCATTACATTTTAAAAAATGCTTGAAAAAAGTAAAAATGTGTTTGAATTCTTCCACAATAAATTTTTTGTGATCCCTATCCTAGGAAAAATTTAGTTGAAACAGAGTAGAAATTTTAGGGAAAGTGACACATATGACTCATAAGGTTGGTATCACATCCTTTTTCAACACCGACGCTCACCCATATCTCCCCTCAATTCAGTCAAAGAAGCGTGAAGCTCATAGCCTGTGCGTTCAAGGATGCTCTTTGGTGCTCACTTGATGCTCCTGCAAATGCAAACTCTAAGCCACTGAATATGAGCAATGGTAAATTATTACTTTGTGACTTCTTCAATGGCAACCGATTAAAGAGAAAAAAGATAGCAAACAATCCTAAAGAAAGTGTTTTGGCTTGTGGCTCAGCACTGCAGGAAATCATTCAACCCTTTGAAAGTGAAAGTGGCCCAATTATGTCTAACTCTTTGCGACCCCATGGACTGCATAGTCCATGGAATTCTATAGGCCAGAATACTAGAGTTGGTAGCCTTTCCCTTCTCCAGTGGATCTTCCTGACCCAGGAATAGAACTGGGGTCTCCTGCATTGCAGGCGGATTCTTTACCAACTGAGCTACCAGGGAAGCCCTATTAAACCCTTTAGGAAAACCAATTTTCCTAAAACAAACAAATCTGGCAGGAGACACAAACCACCCATTTCTAGCCAAGTTCCATCACTTCAAGAAGTCTTGCAGAAAACGTGAAGCAAGGGCAGTGGACACGAATACTCGGTCTTCTGATGGCGCTGTTTCAGTGTCTGCATTTGTGTTCAGCGGGTGCTTTCAGTTTTGACCATTTGTAAAGGGTTTTATTCTGTATCTTTTCCATGCTGTTGTTTTCATTTCTTGAAAACAATTTTAAAGTACCTGGAAATTTAAACCTTGATCATAATCTCAAAAGACAATTAAGTATCACACTGCTATATTTAAAATGGACAACCCACAAGGACCGACTGAACAGCACAAGGAACTCTGCTCAATGTTATGCGGCAGGCTGGATGGGAGAGGGACTTGGGGAAGAATGGACACATGTATATAAATGACTGAGTCCCTTTGCTGTCCACCTGAGACTATCACAACACTGTAATCAGCTCTACTCTAACACAAAATAAAAAGTTAAATAAGAAAAGACAAGTACCTAAATACTGACTATGTAAATATTCAAAGAAGTGCCATTCATATGAACTGCAGAATAAGTCAGCATGCTTGGGCATTTTAATGGGCTCCCACATGCTCTCTGAATGATTCAAATGGTCTTGTTAAACAGATTGTGAACAGATTTCCAAAAGGGAGCACACCGCAAAGTCACAAAACTCTTCTTAACCGTGTGATTTGAACAAGCAGAATCATTTCACATATGCTGAGACTGTATTTCCAAACGCATTCCAGAATGACCTTGGAAATTCAGTGCAATGAATATATTATTTTTGGAGTTTGGGGGAAAGACTTAAAGATACTTACCAGGGGCTGGGGGTAAGGGGTGGGGGAGATAAGAGAGATATTATTTAAGGATACAAAATTTGCGGGAATTCCCCAGTGGCCCAGTGGTTAGGGGGCTTCCCTGCTGGCTCAGATGGCAAAGAATCCGCCCGAGATGCAGGAGACCCAGGTTCCATCCCTGGGTTAGGAAGATTCCCTGGAGAAGGGAATGGCTACCCTTTCTAGGGATTGTCCCTGTAGCTCAGACGGTAAAGAATCTGTCTGCAATGCAGGAGACCCAGGTTCGATCCCTGGGTCAGGAAGATCTTCTGGAGAAAGGAATGGCAATCCACTCCAGTATTCTCGCCTGGAGAATCTCATGGACAGAGGAGCCTTGCGGGCTACAGTCCTTGGGGTCGCAAAGAGTCAGACACAACTGAATGACTGACACTTTCACTTTTTTTTCACTTTCCAGTGGTTAGGACTTGGCACTTTCACTGCAGGGGGCCTGGGTTGAATCCCTGGTAGGGGAATTAAGATCCCACAAGCCTCCTAGAGTGGCCAAAAAATTTTAAAAAGTATACAAGTTTGCAACTAGTATATAAGTGAGTCCTGGAGATCTAATGCACAGTATGATGATTATAGATAACAATGTTAATTTTTCAGTAATGTCTGACAACAAATATTTTATTAGAAACATCAAATTTGCCCAGAGACTATATCTTAAATATTCTCACCACTGAAAGAAATAACTATGTGATGCCATAGAGGTGTCAACATATTGCAGTCAAACTACAGTGGCAATCATATTGAAATATATAAATGCATCAAATCAACATGTTACACAACTGAAACTTACAGTGTCACATGTCAAATATGTTTCAATTAAGAAAGAAAAAAATGGCACAGTATTTTTTTTTTTTTATCACTGAGACAGACACCGTGTGAAAAAGAGAGCTCAACTCCAAAGACTGGACCTAAAATCACAACTTGTTTTCAATCACCACCACATTAAATGTATCCATATGCACACTTTCCAAATAAACAGTCAAACTGACTGTGAAGGAGCACCCTGGACCAACCAAACATCAGTCTCATCAAAAGCAGTAGATTTGTCTGTAGAGTTAAAGCCGGAGCTCTCCGTGGAAAGTTGCACCAAAGGCTGGAACAAACCGGGCCATTTTGGCAAAAATCGTTGCTGTTCAGTCGCTCCGTCATGTCCCTCTCTTTGCGACCCCATGGGCTGCAGCACGCCAGGCCTCCCCGTCCTTCACCATCTCCCAGAGTTTGCTCACACTCACGCCCATTGAGTCAGTGATGCTATCCAATCATCTCGTCCTCCGTCGTCCCCTTCTCCTCCTGCCTTCAATCTGGTAAAAAATAAAACATGATGAGCCCGCCTGGGAGCGGTCAGACGGGCTGTGTTTTGCAGGACTGGCAGATGGTCCCCAAAGGTCACTATAACCTTTCCCAGCTCAGTGAGTGGCAACGGTGACTTAGGCCAAAACCTGGGAGGCATCTTCCTCTCTCTCTCTAACCCTGCATCCAATCTGTCGGCAAATCCTAAACTTGAAAGCATCTCTCTCTCTTTGGCACCAGACCGCCTACATCATGGGTTGCGTGCACGCTCCCCGGAAAGGCCTGTCCCACTTGGCTCTGTCCCACCACCACAGCGTCTCCACCTGGCTGAAGCTGACGTCTGAGGACACGAAGGAGCAGACCTACAAACTGGTCGAGAAGAGCCTGACTCCCTCACGAATTGGGCTGGTCCTCAGAGACTCACGTGCTGTTACACAGTACATTCTGGGACAGGCAGTAAAATCCTGAGAATTCTTAAGTCCAAAGGACTTGCTCCTGATTTTCCTGAGGATTTCTACCACTTAATTAAGAAAGCCGTTGCTGTTCGAACGCATCTTGAGAGGAAAAGAAAGGATAAAGATGCTCAATTGCATCTGATTCTGACTGAGAGCCGTATTCACTGGTGGGCTTGATATTACAAGACCAAACAAGTCTTTCCCCTCAACTGGAACTACGAGTCATCTGCAGCCTTTGGCTTGATTGCATAAATTTGTCTGTTGTATTCAAGCAATAAAACTAGAAAGAAAAGAGCTTCCCGGCTGGCTCAGTGGTAAAGAATTTGCCTGCCAATGCAGGGGACACAGATTTGATCCCTGGGCCAGGAAAATGCCTCAGAGCTACTAAGCCCAAACCCTACAACTACTGAGCCCACATGCCACAAGCCTGCACACCCTAGAGTGTGTGCTCCACAACAAAAGAAGCTCCCACAGTGGGGAGCCTTCACACAACTAGACTGTAACCTCCCCTAGCAGCAACTGGAGAAAAGTCTGCACGGCAACAAAGCCCCAGCACAGCCATAAATAAAAGTATTTTTTAAAGGACTAGAAAAAAAAAGAAAGACAGTACATCCAGAATATGACCACTTCTTACACCTCCATCTGAACCACCACTGTGTGGTGTCTGGATTCTTCCCGTAGCCTCCCCCTGGTCTCCTGGCCCCTTCTTACCTATGATATCAGGGATTATTTGTGAAAAAAATTAATAAGTGAACATGAAAGCAAAAGAAGAACTGAAGAGGAATCTTCCAAGAATCTTTCCATTTCCCCTCCCCACCTCCTCTCACCGTGGGGGAAAAAAAAAAGTTGATTTGGGAGAAGGAATCCTAAGCTACCTGGGGAAAGAGTGGACTTTTCCCCAAAAATTAGATTAACAGTAAACAATAAATGTAGACAGTGACTGAGATCTATGTCCCACACACCATGAGAATAGCTTTCCCTGACTCTGCTTGCTTCTTGAAACCCAACCCTAGGAGGTACTCGCCTCTCCTTTTGTGAGTGTGCAACTTTAGTTTCTGGTAACTCTTCTGACACCAACTGCAATACAGTTCTGGCACAACTAGCAAGCTACCTCCCCACTCCCACCCCCATGCCCCAAGTTAAAGTCTGGGTCCTCCACAGGACGGCCCTTCCCCCACACTGTGGCCACACTCCTGGGGTGTCCCAGGCCATCCACACTTCTGATGACTGGCTACAAATTCAGAGCTTCCCACAACCCCGCAGGTTTAGTAATTCCCTAGGAGGACTCACAGGACCCAGGAAGGTGCTCTACTTACAGCCACTGTTTTATTATAAAAGGGCCAGGCCAAGCCCAGCCAAGTGAATGGTCACATAGGCAGAGAAGCCTATGTGACTTCTTTGTCACAAAAGTCTATGTCACAGAAGTCTGTGTGACTTCACAGAGAGGTCACATAGTCTAAGAAGTCCAAATGCAGAGCTTCTCTGGTCTTCCCTGTGGACTCAGGCATGTCACCCTCCGGGAACGTCAATGAGATGGCCAGCCGCCAAGCTCCATCTGGCCTCAAAGTCCAGAGTTTTTCACTGGAATCTCATTACGTCAGCCTGATCAACTGACTCATTGTCCATGTGGTTGAAATCAATCTCCCACCTCCCTCCCTCCCTCCCTACCCACCCCCCCACCGCCAAGGTCAGACCGGCCAGACCCCAACTCTCATCATGTGATTGATCTTTCTTGTGTCCTATCCTTGGGTCATCATAACCCTTAATATAAACTCAGGTGTGATCCAAGAGGCTCATGAGTAATAAAGACTCAAAGATTTAGAGGCTCCTTCTCACAAACCAGAAATAAAAGCCAGTCAAACACTATTATACAACAGGGTTGTTGTTGTTTAAGTCACTAAGTCGTGACCAACTCTTTGCCACACAATAGACTGTAGATCACCAGGCTCTTCTGTCCATGGGATTCTCCAGGGAAGAATACTGGAGTGGGTTGCCATTACCTTCTCCAGGGGATATTCCTGACCCCGGTATCAAACCGGTATCTGCATTGGCAGACGTATTCTTCACCTGAGCTACCAGGGAGGCCCCTTATCTACATCAGGAGTGTCACCTGAATTCTCTTTCAAGGCCCCATCCATCTGGTGGAAAGGCACCTCAGTCTACTTCTTGGGTAAATTTCCTCCAGGAGTAATTCCTATGTGGGGAGGAGGAGGTTCTCAGGGCCCCCAGGTGATAGGGAAGGAGGGTGCATGCATCTGGGGTTTCATCACCTCTGCTTCAGCTGCCAGATCATATAGCCCTTGGCCTTCCAGGGGACACTGTGAGGCTTCTAAAGCAGGGACCACCTACATGCCTGCTGACACCCACAGTCTCATTTCTCTCTGGGCACTTGCTGCCTCTGCTAGAATCTGGAGCATGAAGCCAAGCCCCTGTCCTCTTCTAGCCCATAGACCTTTCTCTTAATGCCCATCTGGATTCAGCCAGTGGGGAAGAGGGGTAGAGGACCCTTTTTTCCTCAGGGACCACAAATATTCATGTACTCACTTCTCCAATTATTCTTTCCCTACAGCCACGAGCATCCTTTTCTAATTCAGAAGGAAGGGGCCTGGGTTTTTACATCATTATCCCTCTCCTAGATCTGACAACTACAGCTGCATCAGTTTCATTCCTCACCAAGGATTGGCTTTTGAAATGCAGAGCCCTGTTTTTAACCAGACATCACAGTAGGAAGTTCCTGAAAGCCTATTTGTACCATGCAATCTCCCCCGGAGGAGCAGAACCTGCTTCCAATGCAGAGAGAGACCTAGAGGATGAGAGCCATGTGAGGTGGTTCCACACTCTCCCCAGGCTTCCCTGGTGGCTCAGATGATATAGAACCTGCCTGCAATGCAGGAGGTCTGGGTTGGATCCCTGGGTTGGCTAGATCACCTGGAGAAGGGAATGGCTACCCATTCCCATTTTCTTGCCTGGAGAAGTCCATGGACAGAGGAACATCGCAGGCTATAGTCCATGGAGTCCCAAAGAGTTGGACATGACTGAGTGACCAACACACACACACACTCTTCCCAGGTCAGTGTGATCCACTCCAGTTTTTCTGTGAGCTTCTCTTTGCACTGACCTCTGCTAAAATGCACTTATTCCTCTCTTGTTGTTGTTGCTATCCAGCTGCTAAGTCCTGCCCATCTCTTTGTGACCCCGTGAACTGCAGCATGCCAGGCTCCCCTATTCTCCACTATCTTCCAGAGTTTGCTCAGATTCATGTTCACTGAGTCAGTGATGCTATCTAACCATCTCATCCTCTGCCACCACCTTCTCCTCTCCTTAAAGACTAATTTTTTTAAAACTTTTCTCTTTTGCTTTGGAGTATAGCTGATTAACAAACAATGTTGGATATTAACAGTTTCATGGGAACAGTGAAGGGACTGAACCATATATATACAGGTATCCATTCTCCCCAAACTCCTTTCCCATCCAGACTGTCACATAACATTGAGCAGAGTTCCCTGTGCTGCATAGCAGGTCCTTGTTGGTTATCCACTTTAAATATAGCAGTGTGTACATGTCCACCCCAAACTCCCTAACTATGCCTCCCCCGACTCCCCCAGGCTTCTCCTCTCCTGGCAACCATAAGCTCGTTCTTGAAATCTGTGAGTCTGTTCCTGTTTGTAAAGACTAATATTTTTATATACTTTCCATTTTCCAAAGTACTTTTTCTTACCTTGCCTTACCTTGTGAGGTAGCAACCAACTGGTCATCTCCAATGAGAAAATGTGCTCACGGTCTCAAGCGGCATGTGGAAATCAGCTGAGTTGCAAAAAGCTGTCAGCCGCGTCGTGCACCGGCTGAGTGATCAACTCAGTAACTTGCTGAATTGACAGATAATGTATGGAAGTCTTCATCTCCCTGTGGATTCACTAGAGTTCCATTCCAGTCTTTTCACTGCAGTTAATTTTCTCTAAATTTGTTGGCCCAGCACAGCTGTATGTTGGCCCTTCTGGTGCTTCGCGTTTCTGGGGTCAAGCACTTGCCCATCACATTTCTACATATGAACGCATGAGTTCAGCCCTGTGTATGAGTTTCACCGTCCTCTCTGTCTGCAGAAGTACGTCCTGCCACTAGTCTGTCTCTGCCTTTGGTGGAGAAGCCAAAATCTGTTCAGACCCAGACTGAGGAATCTATTTACCAGTTTTTGTAAAGTGTTTTTCTGTGAATTAACTTTCTGCCAACTTAACTGGAGCCCCAGTAACCAGCAGAACCAAGAGAACTTGAAGGCAAAGTGCCATGCTGTTTGTTGCGGAGGGTGGGGGATAAATTAGCAGTTTGGAATTAACATATACAGGCTACTCTATATAAAATAATCAACAAGGACCTACTGTATAGCCTGGGGAACTCTACTCAACACTCTGTGATGACCTATATGGAAAATGAACCTGAAAAAGAATGGATATATGTATATGCATAATTGAATCACTTTGCTATATACCTGAAATGAGCACGACGTTGTAAATCAACTATATTCCAGGATAAAATAAAAATTAAATTTCAGAAGAAGAAAAAAAAGTGCTATGCTGTGGTCCTCTGACCCTGTCGCCTCTGTTGAGATTATATGATGTGAGCCCCTAGCCATTCACTGGGGCTCTTATTCATCCTTCATGCTCCGGCCTGTGCGGCCTCCGGGGGGCGGGCGGGGTCTGGAACCTCCAATTCAGCCTTGGGCATCACCCCAGGCAGGCCTGCTCTGAGCCTTCCTGTGTTTGCTCTGCATCTCCCAGCACCATCAGACAAGCCACTGGGTGCCTAGTAAAGGCCCTGCCCTGATGATGAATGATGATGACAGGATGGCGATGATGGTGGCCACAGCTGGGAGCGAGCGAATGGAGTTATGCGGGGGGTGTGAAGCTGGACAGCAAAACCTCCTGATGCCGAAATTCATACAGCTGCTGACTTCTCCCTAGGATGGGATGGAAAAGTTCCTCCCAAGAGACAGCCCATCTCTCTATGTCTGTAGCAGAG